TATATAGCTTAAGATTTTGGTTTACGAAACACAAACGGTGCTCAATACCATATAGATAGAGCGTAATATAGTTTTTCGTTTTACCTCAAAAAACCACAACAGTCTGTTTCATCCGTATAGGAATCATCAGGTGGTGACCACCTGATGATTCCTATACGGATGAAACAGACTGTTGTGGTTTTTTGAGGTAAAACGAAAAACTATATATATATATATATATATATATATATATATATATATATATATATATATATATATATATATATCTGTATAAATGTTGCCTGGATATGTATGGATTTTGCGCAGCAGAAAAGAGGAGGGGTTATGAATTTTTGGCCACGGCCAATGGGAGGGTCATGCATGATATTTCATATTAGACCCTGCTGGGGGCTCACAGCTTTTCAACTTATTTTTTCAAGTCTCAAATCCCCCCCCCCCCTGGTAATTTCTGACAAGTCCCTTACAAGTATTTCCACAATAGTGAAGATCTTTGCCGATGGTTATCGTATTGTAAAAGAACAATTTCACAAGTGGGCACTGGTCAAGCCAAGAGTTAAGGCCGAGACACACCGGACGCACGGCGCGGTCAAATCGCTTTGAAAATCAAGGAGGCACGCCACTTTAGAATCCCAAAACACTTTCAAAACTAATATGCTTCAGCCAGGACCGTTGCGTGGACTTTGTCTTGGGGGGGGGGCGAGGTTAATTTTTCCGTAGATCTAGTTATTTTTCCCAATTCACTTTCTTATGCCCTGAGAATTACCTGAATTTACCTAAAAATCTACTGGAAATCTACTTGAAATTGCTCATAAGCAATTATTAGGGGGTTGCACCTCCCCCCACACACCCCCGGTCGCTACGGCCCTGATTTCACCTTTCAAAACTGACAAGTTTGGTTGGTTAAGCCAATAGCAGTGTCGCGTAAAATAGGAGAAATATATAATTTCAACCTTGCACGCAGTGATAGTATAGCCAGCTGAGAATGGAACAATTAGTATTCATGATAGTATTACAATCTTGGAAAAAGTATTTGTAGACTTTTCGAAAAATACTTCCAAACTGTTTGAAAACATATGATGAAAATGTGAGCATTGTTCAATTAAAGCAACTATTTACCTTAACCCCTCCCCCCCTCACCCCCGAAACAATGTTGGTTCAGGTAAAGTGGATTTGCAACACCAACTAAATACCAACATTGTATAAGGGGGGAGGGGGACAAAGTTTGAAAATTTAAGAAGTCTACTATTTTTTCCAGGATTGTAGTTTACCAGCTCAGTATCATGAAATTTAATTATGGGGGGGGGGTCTGAAACCCCCTGCAACCCCGCTACCCCTCCCCCCCCCCCACCACCACCCGCTTGCGCCTTCCCTGGATAACATCGGCCTTCAATAGTGCAACCAAAAAACGCTGTCAAAAATACGATGATCTAATGTCACGAAATGCTAAGAAATTTTTGGACTGAAGTAAAATTGAATGATCCTTGTTGAGAAAGGTATTAATTAAGCATGTTGTTTCATATCAGAATGAAAATATATCCCCTTGCTGGTCTTCTGGTCTTTTTCTTGTCATTTCAGAAGATTCAAAACGGGAACTCATTGCCGGCAAATCTCAACACAACAGCTAACAGTAGTAACATTATAAACAACAGTGAGTATATAACATTATAAACAACAGTGAGTATATAAAATACATTTATAGATCTACAAATGAAAATGGAATGAAAATCGATACACTCTTTTCCCGTACTTTAATATTTCTTTGGTTATTTCCAGTTTTATCTTGAAGCCAAATGTTATCCAGAGCAGGTGTTTGTTTATATTTCCACGGATGAATGAATCATTAGTTTGGGCTTCTTCTCCCGAAGTTGTCTACTGTCAAGATCGGTTCAAACAGACCCAACAATGTTAACCCATTATCGGCCATTATCATGCAACAATATGTTGAAACATTTGATTTAACCGCTTATTTTTCAAATCTTTTAATAATATTATAGAATTCATGCATGTTGAAAATCTTTGCTTTAAAATATTTGTGAGAGAAACGGTAAATTGTTGGATGCAGGTGTTGGGACAACATTGTTTGGTTCGTTTGAACGCTGGACCTTTATAATTATAGAACGTACCCTACTCTTCTGAATGTTCTGATATATTATAGTCTGTCAATGTTACTATATATTGCGCTGCTCTTCCTTATTGATGGAAACGACGGAATTAAAAATAATGCAATTCATCGCAAGTATATTGTGAAGAATATATAACGTGTTTATATATTATGAACAAACCAGGCAGATTTGTCACTTTTTCAAGACATTTCAGTTGTGGCTATATCCCATGTCGTATTGCATGAAATCATTCGCTCCCTTTTTCAAACCTTGCTTCTATTTTCGGACCATGACTTGAACGAGAGTAATTCATATTTCATGTTTTTCCAGCTACACAAGACAAGCTTGCAGTGAAGCAATGCGACGTCAGCTATGTTAAAGTGGAATGTTATGAAGATTCAAGTATTGAAAATTCTTCATTTCCTTCTCTGATACTCAAACCAATACTTCCGTTGCTCAGTGAAGGAAAGACCTGGTCACTTCGTGGAGAGCCATGGAGCAAATTTTTACAAAACTTTGTTTGTAGTTGTGCGCAAAGAGCAAAACAGCTCAAGTATAATTATTTTGGAGTGAAACGTTTCGGTGAGTCGCAGCTCAAATCTTGAAATTTTCATGTGGCGAACATTTATTTAGCTATATATGTGAACATTAAGCTCAAGCAAAACGTATGGCCCATTTATTAGCGCGAACTAGGCCTAAAACTCAAAAATTTAATTTATATATTCCCATCGAAATAAAGGTCTTGCTTTTTAGACTTGCCATGATTTTAGCGTATATTTATATTTGCCGTAAAAATTAAGGCAGAACTTCAGCCTAGACCTGGGTATTTATTAATTTATACCACCGTACAATTCTGGATCTCATGATGATGCACAATTCGATAAAGGATCGTTAATATTGAAAGACGGGTTGAGGGGGTCAACTGGCGTAGCAAACGTTTATTTTCAGGGTTGAGGGGGTCAACTTGTGTAGCAGTTGAGGGGGTCAACTTGCGTAGCACACGTTTATTTGCTATAGGGGTGAGGGATCAAACGAGGAGAGTGAAAGAGGTGATATTTGTCAAATTTCCAGCAAACGAGGAGAGTGAAAGAGGTGATATTTGCGAACGCGCTGTCTGTATTTTTTTGCCTCCTCAAATTGTTGTTTATATAAGCAGGATAATGGGTCAGGGTGCATCTCACTCGATTCAACTAATGTTGAAAGATTTTGTAGATGGAAATTTCTGCCAGAGGGCATATACTTGCTTTTTTGCAGCTGTTGCTAGTTTAGCCTGTGTACAGACTGTATTTCAATAAATGTAGGCTATAAAATTGACAACTGGAGTCTGTAGCCCAGTTGGTCAGAGCGCTGCAGCAGAATCGCAGGGTCACAGGAGGAGCAATAATAGCATTTTTCGCAAATGCCCCTGGGTTATAAGTTTACACTCGACATTTTGACGACCAAGAGCGAGCGTTGTAACTCTCATCCTCGTGATTTAATAAGAATTATTTTGTTTTCAGATCAATGCTGGTCAGGGGATACAACGCTGTTTTACAGAAATCCAAAATCAAATGGTTGTCTACAACTTGATATGAACTCTTGTAATTCTAACAGCACATCTCCATGTGCCGGAAACTCGACGTCAGTATTTGTCTACCGTTTGTAGAATGTATATATACTGCTACTATATATAGCTAGGCTGGCCAGAAGTGGATTAAAATAATCAGGTTTTCAAATCAAAGCTTAAAAATTAATTGCTTCATGTCCTGGTTAATTACCGTATGCTCCGAGGTACGGGTGGACGTTTTAACTGCATGAATGGGTTATTATTCTGGCAGATTTTTACTCTGTATTTATTTCATTTACAGATAACTTTAGTCAAAATATTCGGTTATGCATGCAGACATCAAAATAGACCTTCCCAACTAAATAAATATATACCAGTAAACGTTGTCGTTGTACTTAATACAAATTAACAGCGAGCTTTCGCAAAGCTTTGTGAAACCGACTTCACATTTTGATATAACTTTTGTTTGATATTGAGTTACTATACTTACCCAAATATATAATCCTTATATTTCGTAAAATAAAAAGTAATTGAAGAAAAAATAATCTTTGACTTTTGACTCGAGATGTTTAAACGGGTGGTATACAGGTGGACTGTATTTACATTTCTCAATCGGACAATGCTTTGAAATAAATTCAGTGATTGTTATAATCATATTTCGTAGCAAGGAACTTAAAATGAACGAAAGATTTTTCTTATTTGGTTTTTTCTTATGGTCCATTAAGACGACAGATGCTGCAGTACCTGGTAGGTGTTGAAAATTGTTGTTATTTGTCATGAAATGTGGAGTAAAGACATATTGTTTTGACTTGATCTCCGCCATGTTTATAAAGATTTAAAATCACACAAGAGATCTCTTGTGATGTAGTTATCAGTGAATAACCTTGAGTAATAAACACAACAGTTTAGATGCGCATGCAATGATATATTCGTATTGAGAAAACGTCTGAAATTTCGACCTGCGCTTGCTGTGAATACATGTCAATAAAGATTTGCTGAGAAGTTCATAAAAAATGTTAACGAGTTCCAAATGAAGACGTTTTATCTCAACCTTATTAAAGGTCTAATATACTAGTTAAGACTGAAGGCCAAATTTCTGTAGTAAATTACGTACATCACTGTCATCAGTTAGAACCAATGATAAGAATAAATGAAGAATTTATAAACATTATAATAAGTTAATAGTTCCTCATACAAGCGGGCAGACGGATAATGACAAATTAATTAAACAGATGTAACATTGCATGTTATTTACCAAGCTCTAATACAACTACATTTTGATTATTGTAATATCGTGTGGGGAAATTGTGGGAAAACTTTATCTAACAAACTTCAAAAACTTCAAAACCGTGCAATGCGGGTGTTGACCTTTTCGGTTTTTCCAACTTTGACGCCGATGCCAATAGCTTATTGGAAAAGCTAGGGTGGGATGATCTAAACCAACGACGCCAATTTCAAAAGGTGTTGATGGTTTTCAAATCTTTAAATAACCTTGCACCCGAATATCTATGTTCTAAATTTACTAATAGCAATAATGTAACTCCTTATATACTTCGAGACTCCGTGAACAAACTTGCTGCTCCTTTACCCCGCACCAATTATCTTAAAAATAACTTTAGCTATAGTGGTGCAGTGTGATGGAACAGCTTACCTAGCAATCAGTAAGACAAGCGGAATCTCTTATTGAATTTCGACAATTGTTGAAACATCATATTCGATAGCCACGGCATTCATGGAAAACAGGTATAAATATTAATGTAACACAGGCTTGAAAATTTTTTTTAAACTTATTAATGTAGATATAACTATTTTTTGTAAACCTGATGAAGCTACCGTGCTTAAATAAAGATTTGACTGACTGACATATACAGTAGGCAGCAGCAGTGAATATGTCAACAGTTCACAGGGCCTTTTAACATATAGACTGGGGGAACATGTCCCCCCAGCCCTCTTACTGGCCTCTCCGGTCGGCAAGTTTGTCCCCCCCCCCCCAGTGCAAGGTTCCTAAGAACTACCTGTACAAGGTGGTCAACCAGCAATTATATATCAAAGTGTATGAGAAAATGAT